TAGGGCAGGATTAAGGATTGGGGAGTGAGGGCTGGACTATGCCCTATAAATATGGTTTATTCAACCTTTATTTATACAGGTTAGTCCCATTGAGCCTCGGGACTCGTTTACAAGAGAAACCTGATTTTAACAAAGAATGACGACAACAGTAGACAATCATAAAAGCATACAAACTGAGAAGAATAAATAATAGAAATTATACTGAAATAACAAAACAAAAACAGCTACATCGTAAAGTGGTAGAAAGCTAAAAACAGGAGCATGTCTGCATTGGTTTTTGCCAGGAACTTAGCAGTTGCTTCTTAGAGATGTCAAGGTCGAGAGCTTCAGATCTTTAAAAAAGATTGCTAAAGTGGTAAAAGATTTATTGTAATAAAAGATCAGATAGAACTTTATTAATCCCACAGGGAATTGTTGTGCCAGAGTTTCAGTACAAAGGAACATACACAAGGAATCACACAAGATATAGAAAACAACAGAGAATATAAAAATACCAACAATTAAGTTCTAAACAGGTCAGGTGCAGACAGAAACAATAAAAAGAGTTTATTGTAGTACAGGATTAATTTTTATTGCAGAAAGTGGGAGGAGTTGAGAAGTTTGATAGCCACAGGGAGGAAGGACTATATATAAAGGAAGGAATGTATATAATATATCTAATGTGTGGCGGACAACTGGAATCAAGTTGACTCCAAAAGTTGTATACGTCTCTATTATTATTTCCTGCAACTTTCTTTCAAATCCATCTGGTGATTAATTAAATATTTTGCTAACAAACATATTACTCTTTCATGGTGGGTGATAACATCAGCCGTCTGCAAAGCAATAATAATTAAAAACACAACTTGGAAACTACAGAATGTGGTAATAGTAGTACTGTGTTGATTTTAAAACAGTAGTAAATCCAAACACAAAAACACTTAATGTTATTTATTTTTAAAGCCCTCCAGTCATGTCGTCTACACCTCAGATAAATAAAGCAATGCATTTGGAAATAATCACTTTAGTGAAAGCTGTAATAATCCTTTGGAGCTCTGGGTCTATGCCCCAATAAACCCTTTGTTCTTAGACTCTAATTTTCAATTCAGTTTATAGTGCCAAGTAACTACAGAAGTCATCGCAGGGCACTGAACAGAACTCTAGATTATAGGCTAGATTTGACACAAATAAAAGTTGTATCTGTTCGTTTTACAGGCCTTGTTATATTTTAATTAACACATCATCGTGTTCAATTTGGAACTTGAGCTTCTGTTTAGAGAACAGGAAAACTTGCAGTAACATTTGAGCACGTTTTAAACGTAGGTTTTCTATCTATTCTACAATAAACACCTAGAAAATACTAAAAGCAAATTACATTTTTTTATGTTTTTTTTTCCCAGGAGTATGATCTATAAAATGGGCACGTTCATGAAACCGTGACAGCTTTGTGCGCGTGGGGTTTTGTTATTGTTTTGTTCTTTTCGTTTCGTATCGCTTCCGGAAGGATGATTGATATTTCCGACACAACGTGAAGTATCCGCTCCGTTAACTCACGCTGTGTGATTTGACAACTGTATGGCTGCTTTGTGCGTCGGTACCGAGTTTCCCCAACACAGAAAACGGCTTCGAAAAGAAGATAAGGCCTGGTCTTCGTTACCAGCTCGGTTATCAGGTCTCTGTCCCCCTGTATCATTTAATTTAAAACAAATAAGCCACGGAGTTAGGTTAAGTTAGCTAGTGCTAAGCTAGCAGAGGAACGGCCACTGCGCGCGACGTAGGAACTTGCCCACGCATGCAGACAGTTTTACTCCGTCCACTACTATCCTCCATCACATTACGCAGCCGGTGCTGGGAAATGGTTTGCACACGCCTTACTGGTAAATGGGATAGTCGTTCGAGCAAACGCGTTAGGTTGTAGCGTTAAAAAGCGACGCTAGCTATCTGGCCTACAATCGGAAACGCCTCATTGTTAGTCATGTCTTTATTAGCTGCTGGATGCTGAAGAGGGAAAAGTCGCGCATAAGTGTCCGACAAATCAACCCCCTGGAGCACGGTTAGGTTGGGACAAACAAAAGCCACCTGCTCGTGTGATTTTAGTTCACCAAAAAGCCTCTACTAGATGTAATGTGTCAGCAGCGGACATAGATTAGCTGCCGCTTGTTTATCTGGACCAATGAGGTGGGTTTGTTGTACTGCACATATCCTGCACCTTAAAAAATGTCTTTTTTTGTATTGTTTTTGTTTAGTCATTCTTCAAGTATCAAAAAGATGGTGCGTTCACTTGCGCTAACTTTGACTCGTACAGTGCAAGAGAGGCGTTCACGTGTTCTTTGTTTTTTGTGAGCTCCAGCTTGAAACAGTTTTTCTGTGTGTCAGCAGATTATGTCACAAGAATCCATTGTGCAGTTTGTTACGTGGGCCCAAAGTGTTGCTTTGTTTTATTTAGTTTTATTGGTCAGGAAATGATTGTATTGCTTTTGAGACTAACGTTCAGCCTTAATCGACAGGTAAAATCTGTTGTGGACATCATTACTTCATTATCTTTACCCGCTTCTTCCATTTTGGGTCATACTTATAAGTTATAATGCTAACCTGCAAGACTAAAATTAATCATAACTTTTATAAAAATGTGGAGTGATTGACTAGTTTCTAGGTGTGTGTCTTATTCCATCAAACCGTGTCTTACCACAATCTGAACACTGCTGCTTTTTATCTTTCTAGGTTGGTTTTTATTATGAAATAACTTCTCAGATTTGATCTTAACACTATGTTTATGTACGTTTACCGTAGATCTGGACAAACAAGCTGGCCCAGCGTTTGTGTGCTGCTGAGTTATCTGCTCCTTACAGTTTACTGATGACACATGTTCATTAGCACTGGTCAAACACAAACCAGCCAGTTTATGCTAACACAAACAGGCGTTGCACCTAGTTCATACACACGTTAGACCTTTTTAATACTGCAGACATTGTAACATGATAGTGTTTTGCTGTAAATGTCACTTTTACGCGTTACAGCCTCCTTGTCTCTGTTTATTCCACAGAGTTGACATGGGGAGTAAAATGTCCTTCGGCAGAGAAAGCAGTGACCAAAACACAGTCTCTCAGTTGACCTCGGAGACGCCTCTTCCTCACACTTTCATTCACTCCTCTTCGGACTGCAAGCAGGTAGCCTGTCAGATTAACAAATATACACATCAATCTCACATTTGTACTATTAGTAAGTATACTAGTATAGTCTAAAAAAGTTAAATCTGGTCCTCTGGACATTCAAAAAAACAAAACAAAGCAAATCAACAAAAAAATGTAGAAACGTTTCGTCCCTCATCCGAGAGACTTCCTCAGTCTGAGGAGCTGTATTCAGCTCAGTCTCTTAAATAGCACCTTCTCAGAGTGGATCAACCAGTTTCGCTGCTGACAACCAAAACCAGCTGATCACATGCTCAAGAAGGACCATCAGCCTAACGATGGATCATTAGCACACTGATGGCTGTTTACTGTTCACAGAGGGCTGAGTGATACTAGCAATCACAGCATTGTAAGAGGGGGACAGTTGAACCCGGAGGCCTCCACCCCTGTTTAACGATGGACGATTTCTTTTCACAAAGATGGCCTCCTTTACTCCTCTCTCAAACCATCGTTCCTCTCTGTCCAGGATGTGAACATCTTCATCCCTGAAAGAGTGACCGCTGGCCTGGCCAGGCCAGGAGAGGAGAATTAGAGAATTTTTTATAAACCTGCACTTTTCTAAAAAGTCTCACAGCAAATCAGTTTAAAGCGTTTTTTAAACCGTTCTGTTCCAGAAATTTGCTATTTTAACAGTTACTCATAGAACTAAGTTGTGAAAAGAAAAAGAAAAGTTGATGATGTATCAGGATTAATCAGTCCTTCCTCAGAAAAACTGTTATTCCTGTTGTCCTCCTGTCAGTGACTTCTATTTAAAATTAAATAGGAAGATTTATTTTTTAGGTGGCAACTTAAACAGAAAAGTTTCTTTTTCCTGATAAGTTTACTCTTATTTAGTGATTTTGCAATTAAACGTGTATTATCTTTCAAGCAAAATGAGTAAACTATTCAACTCTGTGAATATTTGAACCGTTTCTATTTTTTAAAAAGTTCCTAACTTATTTTGTACCTTTATAAGGGCTTACCAGTGAATAAAGTCTCTTTGGTAAATGCTCTTTGCATAAATACCTTTATAACTTTTAAAATGCAAGATAACAGTGTTTATTCAGCTAGAGGAAGTTTGTTAACTCAAAAATGCCTTACAGAAAAATAAAAACGTTTAATTTCACTCTTTAAACCTAAAACTGAAGTGAAACTGTGATTTAAAGTTTCTCCAGGAGGGGGAAGCGTTTAGCTTTCTACCAGCAGGAGTCTATGACGACTTCCTGTGACGTTCGGTTGACATCCTGTTGTTAGCCGCTTAGCTTAAAGTTAGCTTCGGCTAAACTCGGTCAAAATCAACATTTCTGAACGAATTTAAGCGTAAACGTGGCGTAGTTTCAACAAGCACGACTTTTATGCATGAACATGAGTTTTCTGGACATATGGCAGCTTTATTTAGTGATTTTAAGCGTAGTGAAGGCTCCGGTCGTTAGCTGTTAGCTTAAAATTAGCATCGCTAGCATTGTTCAAAAAACATCATTTAATGACGGATTTTAAACTCTAACGTGGCAAAATTTCAGCGAGTATGCTTCGAAGAACTTAACCAGCGTATCAAAATACACTTTTAAAGCGCTTTTCAGCTTTAAAAAGCAGATTTTATTTCCCTATGAAAACGAATTTTCATTTCCGGGTCACGTGACTGAAATCACCAATGACAGAGCAGCGCAGGGTTGAGAGGAGATGACGTAGCCACGTCAGTCAACCTTCTCAGCAAATCAGAGCGCTCCACAGCAGCAATATTCAACCAATCACGAAACGTTAGTAACAACTAGCATGCTAGATTAGCGTGAACTAAAATTCGTCAACTTTTCGTCTTTTAAACTGTCAAAATGCACTTTTTCTGTTAAAAAATGTAACGAATCAACTCTGAGCTTTGCGGAGTCGGCGCTCCGTGGCACAACGTCTTTTAAACCGTTTAAAACAACTCGTTCGAACTTTTTCCAGAACCGAGCTGTCCAGAACCGCATCTGGACCGTCTTTAAACAGAATAGAGCGTTTTCACCCAGCTCAAAACCTTTTTAGTTACGATAACAGACGTACAATTTCAGCTTTCACAAAGACATATGACATTATTTCAGCTTCCTGTGAGCTTCACAGACCAACACGCTTAAAAACATGCAGCGTTTTGACTTCAGGCGGTGCAGCAGCTTCAGCAGCGCGCTGCGTTCAATCACAGCTGACAACTGTTATTTTTCTTTTATGCCAACATGTAAAAAATCAATCTTTACACGAATTTACAGTCATTTATGAGCACGTTACGGGCCACCAACTGTAGTATGTCATATAGGGATATATATTCATACTTTTCACGAGTTCCTCATCTTTCTGACTGTGTAAATGTCGTGCATTGAATTTTAACAGAAATGTAACGAGAGACGTTATTATCTTTGACCCATCAAATGAATGCGGTCATTTATTTTCAGAATCAAAGTTTAACATCAAACATTTACATTAATTTGGCAAAATATGAAAATAATAACAGACAAGTTTCACAAATAATGAACTTCAATCACACGGCGGTGATTGAGGACTTAGCTTCAGATATTTCTAAAATATCTGTACTGATTTTAGGAGAAAGGAGAGTTTAAGATGGAAATGGAGATTTATCTTACAGAGAGATTTGTGAGGGAATTAATCTGTTTGACCAGAACGTGCACGCTCCATCAGATCTCAGCTTGCGACGGTACGCTTGGTCATTTAGAATCGTTACCTGGTTGATGATAAATCAGCTCGGTATAGAATCCTTCAGACTCTTTCAGCGTCTCCGTTGAGAGCAGCTGAAATCCTTCGAGAGTCGTACGAGGTTGTTCAAACAGAAGTTATAATCCCAAAACGTCTCTGGATCATCCTGAACGCGTTTGCATCCAAGAACTCTCTTCATGAGTTAGAACTCCATCACTCTTCAGCACTCTGTGTGGAACTCTCAGAGCTCTGCAGCATCAGACTCTTTTTAGCTCCATTAATCTTCAGCGTCTGGCTTCAGACTTCAGACTTTGTGCACTCTCTAGTTGAACTCATTCCTGAGCGCAGCAACTGCAGCAACTCCAGCAACTCCAGCAACTACATGAACTGGGAAGTTGCCACATTTTAAATGGGTCGACTTCCGGGTCATTTGAGAGCTTTTTGATTGGTCGATGGACCAGGAAAAGGTGTGGTTTGTGATGTAAGATGTTATCAAATTCGAGGGCAGAAAATGAGATTGTTTAAAAACAGACAGAAAGATTATTACAGAAAACCAGACTTCGTGGAGTCAAACTCTTCTGTATCTTCTCAAATAGTTAAACATGACATTTGTTCTCAGTAAACATTTTAGTTGACCGAAAACCGACCTTTAACATACTTACAACCTGGCTCATTGAAGACAGAAAATCAAGAAATGCATATTAACCTGATTTCTTCTTTGAATGAGGAATAAAAATCATTACTTACTGTTTATGTAAAATAAAAATGAGTAGTTTTCTTCAACCTGTAAACATTGAGTGAACTAACACAATTTGATTATCAAACATTTGTAAAATAGTAATGATCATAGAGAATTGTCTTTTCTGCTTGATTAATTCAAGAAAGAAAGTCACCAGATGGCTCAAACTGTATTTCTGGATGCAGATTAATGAAATAACAGTCCCTGTTCATCTGATCAGAATTTGAGGTCAGATCAGGTTCACTACAGTTGTATGGAGGTGTAGATTTATTATAGTGTGCACTTGCACTATATTAAGGACTAAGAGATTGTTTAGATTAGCTTGTTGCTATCTTAAAACAACTTTTTCACCAATTTCCTCTTACAGGATTTTTGGTTTACACTCGTTTACATCAAATTCAGCAACAGCAAAAAAATCTAAAATATTCCATTAATTCTGCATATTCTTTTCTTTTCTTCTACAGCTTTCTAAAGATAAAATATGTGCTGAGAACAGCACGTGGGGAGGTGAAATGGAAGAGACCAGTCTGAACCAGCCTGCCCCAGAATCAAACTCAACTGGACTCCCAATGCCTGTCGACCAAATCGGCTCCGAAGCTGCAGGCAGAAACAATTGTGAGCAGAGTGAGGATGTGTCGTCAGATGTGAGAACGAGCGCAGAACTGCAGCTGACCTCTGGGGCAGCCTGCAGCTCCACAACGGACAACGATGAGCAACCTGTCGAGGGCCGCCGAAAACGTGGGAGGCCTAAAATGAAACAGTCGCAGGCTCAAGACCAAAAAGATTCAAAGGTCACCGGTCCCGACATCGTTCAACACAAAGAGGTTAGCACCACCATACCTTTACCAGAGAGTTTAGTCAACAGCGACACAGACAATATGCCTAACGCTGAAGATGGTCAGTTAATCAGTGCTTCATCTCAAAATGAGACCCTGACAGATGAAGTAGGAGTTGCTGACACTTTGGCGGCAAAAAGAAAAAGGGGACGACCAAAAAAATCAGAGGTCACAGCGTTAAAAACTGTGGCATCTCCACCTATTCCCCCTCCAGAGTTCATCAACTCTGTGCGGAGCCTAAGGAGCAGAGGAGATAAACAAACCCCATCAGAGAGTGAAAACAAGAGCAAAGACGACCCCAGGCAAAGTGACACGGCTCCCACAGAAAGCAGCGCATCTGACAATCATGGGGTCAGAAGAAGGAGGAAACAAAATAAGCTTCAGATTAATCATCAGGTTCCAGAGAAAGTGCCCAAGTTGGATGATTCTCAGGAGGCTGCAGCAGTGTTGAGCAACGCCACAGAGCTGGAGGAAGCCAAGACAGACCAACCGGTGGAGTCGAGCAGTGGCACACTTCAGACTGAAACGGATGAAAACCGTGAACAATTTTCTTCTAATTCTGCGCTAGTACAAGAACAGCAATTAACAGGAAGTCCGTTGGCATCAAAAATGCAGCCTTCTGAGCCACAGCCTGAAATTACTCCGTCACAGGATTTGAGCAGTTTAGAGGTAGATGAACCCACTCAGCCTGAAGAAACTCCGTCAGCATCAAACCCCCCCGAGTCATTTAATCCTCCAACCAATGAAGACTTGCCGAGGACAGAGCCCTCTAGCACAAACGTCGTAACATCCTCTGAAGAAACGCCTAAATCTGTTGAAAGCCTTGCTAATGTAAAAACTGAAAGTACCGAGATAAATCTGGATCATTTCAACTCATTGTCACAGTCAGATAGTAATAAATCTGTTCTCAACACTACAGGGAAATCGGAGGATTCAGTTTCTGGGGAGCGGGATCCTGACACTCAACTAAAAACCGATGTGCAGAAAGAAGACAGCGCCAACCTCAGCCCTAATATCATCTACGTTAAGAAAGGGGCTAAAACAATGCTGAAGTGTGGTTACTGCAATCGCCTGTTTAAATTTTTATCTCAGCTTGTCGTTCATCAACGTGTTCATACAGGGGAAAGACCTTTCACGTGCAATGAATGTGGGAGAAGTTTTAGCAAAAATTCAAACTTAAATCTTCATCTCAAGATGCACAGAAAAAACAACACGTATGAAAAATGTCAGGTTTGCAGTTTAAAAATCTTCGGGTCCGAATATGCCCATCACATGCGCCTTCACAGCTTGGAGCATGAGGTTAACAACAAAACACCTGAAAAGCCAAGCAAAGTGGACGACTTTAAAGATGGCCAAGAAGTTGAGAGCACGCCTACACCAGAAAAGAGAAAAAACGTTTGCCAGTACTGCAGTAAATCTTTCTTGTTCCCGTCCGCCCTCACGAGGCATGTTCGCACCCACACAGGAGAGAAGCCCTACAACTGTGATATATGTGGCAAAGCTTTCGGTCAGTCTTATTTCCTGCGTGTTCACGAGCTGACGCACTGGACTGTGAAGCGTTACACCTGCACACGCTGTGAAAAGTCCTTCGGTCATTACAGCAATGCAAAAAAGCACAGGTGCGTGCCAGTGAAAGGCCATGACGATTCGAATCCCAACAGGCAGACGAAGCCTTCTCTGACGTATACGTGCCACATCTGCAAGAAAGTTTTCGACCGTCTGCAGGAGTTCAACCGTCACATGAAAGGTCACACGGGGATGAGGCTTCTTCGCTGCTTGTGCTGTGACAAGCTGTTCAGTGGGAAGTCTGAATTCAACGAGCATCGCAGTTGGTGCGCAGCGGACAAAAATACCTCAAGTGCTTTTATAAAGCAGGAAGGTACAATGACGATGATCCGGTACAAAGTGCCTATGGCAAACGGTCCATCAGGGCCTAATTCAGCTTCTGACACGGCTTCAAATCAGGAACCAAAACGACAACAGACGCAGATCCACCGTAAGAAGCGCCCCGCTAGCATTGAGAATCCATTCCAGTTGGTGGTCGTACCGCCTCATGACCTCTCGCACCTCGTATCCAGGCTGAACCAACTAGACAATAGATCCGATCCCAGGAAATATCTGTGTCCGAGCTGTGGGCGACAGTTCAGACACATGGGCCGACTCCGAGCCCACATGCTCACGCACGCCCCAGGTCAGCATTACACTTGTACGTGCTGTGGGAAGATGCTAAGAAGCTGGAAAGAACTGTGGCATCACCAGAGAATCCACCGTCGGCGAAGCGGCCGCTTCACGTGTCCACTGTGCGGACGAGGCTTCCGCTTCGTCGGGCCTTACAAAAAACACATGAAGGAGCACCCCGAATTCAAGTGGGTCGAACATCGGCCTCGGAAGGTGTTCAAGCCTTATCAGTGCGAGCAGTGCAGCTGCAGCTATAAGACTCTAGATCTGCTGTTCACTCATCAGCACTGTCATTCATCAACGCAGGACGTGCACAAGAACTCTGATTTTGACCTGTTCATGGACGATCACACTTCACAGTCGAGCAGTAAGATGTCCAGCCCTCCCAGCAGCAACAATCCCTGGAGCTCTTCATGTAAAACCCCACACCCTGTTTGTCAAAAGTTGTCTCCAGTGCCCATAGTTTCTTTTGCCTCTGCTCGGGGGCATGATGTGGATATTTCTACTCGGCAGCATCCCATCAAGATACTTTCAGTCCCAGAAAGACAAACCAGTCTTGACAGAATCAAAGAAGTCAGACCTGAAAAGTCCAATAAACCAGGAAACACTCTGACAAAAACTACCAGCAGATTACAGCCTGCAGGAGCTTCTGGTGACTTAAACTGTGCCGTGTGTGGAAAAGCATTTTGTGCCATTTCAGATCTGTTTCACCATTATTTGCAGCATGCTAAAGGCCAGGTGTGAAAACGTGCATGGAAATGCAGATTTAATGTAGTGCACCATGTTCTGTTTGAAGACCGGCTGTATTTTAACAAGTCGTTAGTGTTTACTCACATCATATCCATTGGGTTTTGTAAAGAACAATTGGTAGATGCCACTATCTTTGATTTATTTATTTTTTTATCGTCATATGTGACATTTTAAATAAAGGAATGGAAACTCTGTAGATGGAGAGTTTTAAAACTTTCACATTTGTCTATTATTCAGTTCAGCACACAAAAATCTGATGTTTTATTACCTGCAGTAAAAACTGACTGAAAGGAAGCACTTGAAGCTGTGACTGGCTAAATAACTGGATAGTATTTTTTAGTTTGAGAAAAGTGTTTTGGACTATATGAGGCGAAAGAATCGATGATCTGTGAAGGGTGTGACTTTAAAAGATGGTTTAAAATCATTAAAAGCAAAAGAGTGCACCTCAACATGTTTAATCTCTGAATTTATGAACATTTTAAACCACGCAGGTGTTTTCTTGCCTTGAGTTTAAACCATTTCAGTGGGAGATCATGGAATTTAATTTTTATTTGTTCTACATCATGGGAACTTTTATTTTGTATTTTAAAAGGACTATCATCTTTGTACATGCTCATTATTGTGAACTTTTACTTGAAAACGGGCTCAAGTTTTAGAAAATATCAGCAAACATTCCCCCTCTGTCACATCAGTGAGCTGCATCTTTCACTGCTTTTGGAGGAAAAGTACATTTTGGTTTTTGTCCTGTGATTCTTGATGGTTTTTTTTTTTTTTGGGGGGGGGTGTCAAATCATGATTTACTGATTGATACGTTACAGTGTGCATTAAAGGATGCTATAGTTTGTCTTAAAATATTTTTTGTATTCATATAGTTTGTCTTTGTTTGCGTGTGAAGACTTTTATTGGTTATTATTACATGTAAAAATGAAGTAAAGTTCTGTGAAATGTCTCGAACGACAGTTTGTCCTGTTCATGATGAATCTAAGAGAGCAGCAACACAGATGACGTTAAAAGTTACAGTGCCTTGTGAAAGTATTCGGCCCCCTTGAACTTTTCAACCTTTTGCCACATTTCAGGCTTCAAACATAAAGATATAAAATGTTATTTTTTTGTGAAGAATCAACAAGTGGGACACAATCGTGAAGTGGAATGAAATTTATTGGATGTGTCAAACTTTTTTAACAAATAAAAAACTGAAAAGTGGGGCGTGCAATATTATTGGGCCCCTTTACTTTCAGTGCAGCAAACTCACTCCAGAAGTTCAGTGAGGATCTATGAATGATCCAATCAGTGGTGGAATGTAACTAAATACAAATACTGTATACTTAATACTGTACTTAAGTACATTTTTCATGTATCTGTACTTAAGTAGAGTTAAATGTGGGTACTTTTTACTTTTACTCCACTACATTTTACATCAAGTATCTGTACTTTCTACTACACTACATTTCTATAATGTGTTGCATTACAAGTTACATTCATGTTGCGGCGTTTTGATTTGTTTGTTACTTTGAAAGTAACCAATGGTGAGAGGGGAGTTGGTCCATTGAATCACTGCAAAGTGGGCAGGTGATGTTAGGCCCGCCTTCAAGAAGAGCTGGGCCATGACGTATATTCTAGTATATATGTCACTGAGCTGGGTGCACCCACAGCATCGGTAACACACCCAAAATGTATTCCACCGCAAGAGAGTCAGCCAGAAGATATGCTCCACCCATGGTCTTATTGAAAGACTGCTCAGTACAAAAGGACAGTTTCTCTCTCCCAAAAGAGCCAGACTGGACTCTAAAATCTTTGAAAACCAACTTCTTCTGAACTTGAACAAGAAATTCTTGCTCCAATATTAAAATGTGTCAGTTCATGGATGTTAGGAGACAAGAGATGTCTCCAAATGTCTCTACACTCGGGTCCAAGTTTTAAAAATGGTGTCAGGAAGTTAAAATATTGTTCAATATTGACCCATTACAAGGTTGAATAGACAGTAGTTTAACTGGTTGATGACAAACTGGAGTTGAAATATCAGTGGAAATGATCGGTGCCTATTTCTTTGTTAGGTCTAATGCTCCTTTTTTCAAGCAGACAATTTTTACTTAAATGTGTTTATTGCAGTTAAAATGACACATTGGTTTTGATTTGTGTTAAATAAAAACGTTCAAAGGTAAAACCATTCCTCTTTCTTATTTTGATTAATGGCATTTAACTCTGCAGGTCATCCCTGAAATTCTGATGCACAGAATCACAAGTCCAAGTGTGAACTGTGTCACAGAATAAAAACGTATTATCTGCAGCATTGTTCATTAAAATGGAACAACACTATTAATGTACTACAGAAAATATACATATGGTACGCAGACTTAAAGATATGTAGACCATTGCATTATGTAATATATTCAGCAAGTACTTTTAATACTTTAAGTATTTTAAAAGCAAGTACTTATTTACTTTTACTTAAGTAAAAATGTTAATGTGGTACTTCTACTTTTACTGGAGTACATTTTTGTCTGTTTATTTGTACTTTTACTTAAGTACAGTGTTTGAGTACTTTCTCCACCACTGGATCCAATGTTGTCCCAAATGACTGATGATGATAAATAGAATCCACCTGTGTGTAATCAAGTCTCCTTATAAATGCACCTGCTCTGTGATAGTCTCAGGGTTCTGTTCAAAGTGCAGAGAGCATCATGAAGACCAAGGAACATACCAGGCAGGTCTGAGATACTGTTGTGGAGAAGTTTAAAGCCGGATTTGGATACAAAAAGATTTCCCAAGCTTTAAACATCCTAAGGAGGACTGTGCAAGCAATCATATTGAAATGGAAGGAGTATGAGACCACTGCAAATCTACCAAGACCCGGCCGTCCCTCTAAACTTTCATCTTGAACAAGGAGAAGACTGATCAGAGATGCAGCCAAGAGGCCCATGATCACTCTGGATGAAATGCAGAGATCTACAGCTGAGGTGGGAGAGTCTGTCCATAGGACAACAATCAGTCGTACACTGCACAAATCTGGCCTTCATGGAAGAGTGACAAGAAGAAAGCCATTTCTCAAAGGTATCCATAAAAAGTGTTGTTTAAAGTTTGTCACAAGCACCTGGGAGACACCAAACATGTGGAAGAAGGTGCTCTGGTCAGATGAAACCAAAATCAAACTGTTTGGCCACAATGCAAAATGATATGTTTGGTGTAAAAGCAACACAGCTCATCACCCTGAACACACCATCCCCACTGTCAAACATGGTGGTGGCAGCATCATGGTTTGGGCCTGCTTTTCGTCAGCAGGGACAGGGAAGATGGTCAGAATTGATGGGAAGATGGATGGAGCCAAATACAGAACCATTCTGGAAGAAAACCTGTTTGAGTCTGCAAGAGACCTGAGACTGGGATGGAGATTTATCTTCCAACAAGACAATGATCCAAAACATAAAGCCAAATCTACAATGGAATGGTTCACAAATAAACGTATCCAGGTGTTGGAATGGCCAAGTCAAAGTCCAGACCTGAATCCAATCGAGAATCTGTGGAAAGAGCTGAAGACTGCTGTTCACAAACGCTCTCCATCCAACCTCACTGAGCTCGAGCTGTTTTGCAAGAAAGAATGGGCAAGAATTTCAGTGTCTCCATGTGCAAAACTGATAGAGACAAACCCCAAGAGACTTGCAGCTGGAACTGCAGCAAAAGGCGGCGCTACAAAGTATTAATGCAAGGGGGCCGAATAATATAGCACACCCCACTTTTCAGTTTTTTATTTGTTAAAAAAGTTTGACACATCCAATAAATTTCATTCCTCTTCTCGATTGTGTCCCACTTGTTGTTGATTCTTCACAAAAAAATAAAAATGTTATATCTTTATGTTTGAAGCCTGAAATGTGGCAAAAGGTTGAAAACTTCAAGGGGGCCTGAATGCTTTCGCAAGGCACTGTAAGTTGATAATAATCAGAGAAATTAGGAATAGGTTCACCACCCGTCCCTTAAAGTAAAGAGCCGTTCTGGATTTGAAACTAAAAATATGTCAATTAGACACACTTTGTTTCTTAATTTAAGAGCTGGTGCAAAACTTTATAAATAAGAAATGAAATGGTGATTTTTGTTTAATCTGAGCTAAAGAATTGTGTTTTTTAGATGTTGAACACAACAATACATTTAGTTAAATGAAGGTACTAAGAAGTTTGGTCATCATGTGTGCCTTTGGACATTTTTGCTTTTTTTTTTTTTTGTTTGTTTTTAATTTGGTGGTAATTTTGGTTGTGTTACAGCTTGTGGCGTGAATATTTGGAGAAAACTTTCTTTTTAGTAAAATGTTTGCAAATCAGTTACTGTTATACTGGTGCTATTTGCACCCTGGGTACCTTTATGGCACACAAACTTAAGTAATATAAAATAAATGAATAATAAAATCTTAATATTTTTGCTTGAACCCCTTAAATACCTTAACCCCAGGTCATGGTCAAATTTTCAGTTATTTTCATGATGTTAACTCGTTTAATGGATGTTAAAGTATTTGGACATATATTTATTAAAAAATGCACCAAAAATCAATTATTGTCCATATGATAAATGCATATTTTGGACACTGGAATGGAGCGTTGGTAGTAATTGCAGTATTGAGCCTGTCAAACGTACAACAAAGTTGATTTAATTGCATTAATTTTTAGGGATTTTTTTTTACTCCTTCTACACACTTTAGTCTCCAAAAATGCCTCTTTGACTTACAATACTTGTTTTTTGTCAAATCAAGCACTCTGTATTGTTGGCATTTCATTTTCAAGAAGGCTCGTGATAGTGGAAGTTTTCACTGTATCTCAGCAGATTCAGCAGTTTTTCCATTGTAGTCTGATGCATAGTTACTGTATTTTACCAATCATAGAGATGTGTCACTAACGGGGGGCCCTAATAGCTTTTTTACTTTGAAAGATGTGCTTCATGTATCCAGAGGTGCTGGATTAGAACCATGTTTGCACCTGGCTGCGTTCACAGCCACAAACATCCAGCTTGGCTGAGGGGCCATCTCTGTATAAAGGAAGAAACATTTCAGTGCAGAAGAGATTTTAGAAATGACCATGCTGCTTTTACCATCCAGCAACACATCTGAAGAAGACGGGTTTTGACGGGAAGTCCTTCACTTCTGTGCATGTCTGAACTTTACTTTTAAAGTGAAGAGGACATTGAGGATACTGGTCATCCTAACAGTAAGTGGACAACTGGTGGTGGTTCTCACAGAAACTGGAGACATCCATTGTTGTGGAGAAAGCACCCCTTGCATAGAGCTGCTGCTGCCATAGTAATGGAGTCAGAGACCGCTGATGCTCAAACCACCAGTACCACCATTGCTACCAGCTGGAGGTGTGTGCTGGATGTGCACATGCCTAAAAATAGAGCCCTTTATCTCCTGCACCAAGAGCTAAAGGGAGCATGAGGCCACACGCAGAATCTAAACTAAACACCTTGTAGCTGTTCCTGCAGCGGTTGCCACAGCAAAGGAACTCCCATAAAAGATTTGGCAATTGTTTTGCTCTTCCTGACATAATGTGGAGTCAAACCAGCAACCCCTGGATTACAAGCTTTGGCACTTAACCACAAAGCAGGCATTTTATTTCCTCCCTAGTCATTCAGGATTAGTACAAATTAAAAAGCATAAAAACAATGTTTGATCACTCAGGAGATTAAAAATGTCAATGATTATATTTAAACAAAAAATTAAAATTTTGTTCGTCCAATTTAAATAAAAAAATGTTTTTATTGTACAACTAAAAAACCAAAAATTGAAGCACATGAAGGCAGTGGTAATGAATGTACTGGCACAGGTGTGAGTATGCTTGAGAGAAGCGGAGCATGCCCTATCCACACAAGGCGAGCTGTTGGTCAGGTTACTTCTTGTTGCTCCCTAAAATAGTTATTGAATCAAGTGATTACAAATGTAGGTAAAACTAGATGTTAAACAACCCATTAAAATACAACAGAATGCAGGAAATGGCATCTTCTTTATTCAAAATTTTCTGGGGGGGGGGGGACCCCCGTCTCCCGCGCTATTTGCGTTCCATTTTAGCTTATATTACTACTTTGAAATACTTATTCATTTAAATTCATCCTGCTTGGACCATTATATTGTACCATGTTGTTGTTTACTATCTCTCTTGAGGACGTTGTAAATATTATAATTACTTTTTCACTTTTTGGTACTTTTTTTGTGTACCCTTATTGCATGCTTTAGTATTCCTTGTTTGTTTGTTCTTTGATGTTTTTAGCAAGTCAAATCGGTTCCTCTCATCCTAAGCATTTCATTGTACTGTTAACCTTGTGCTAACCTTGCATATGACAAATAAACACAAGTCATTTTTTAATACAATAAAGGAAAATAAACAGGTTAACTACCAGGTTGTGGTAGTGCAAGCATTATGTGCAAATAATGTTACACAGAAGAGGAGCTGACTATTACTACCATGTGACAGTGTCCCTGATGATCCTCTCTGCAGATCTGATTGTTCGTTGCAGTCTGGACTTGTCCTGTTTTGTGGATGAGCCAAACCACACAGTGATGGATGTGCACAGATCAGATTGAAGAAAGGCTGTGTAGAAGATGATCAGCAAGCTCCTGTTGTACTTCTTGAGTTGCCGCAGGACGTAAAGTCTTTGCTGGTTGTATAGTTGTCGGTTGGGGTTGTGGGTAGTCCTTGGTTTGGGAGTGGGGTGTGTGTGAGTGAATGGGTTAAAGGTGCAAGTGACTGGTTTTCAAACCTGCAGAAGAAGCTGTTTTTAGCTCGTCAGCCAGCCGGGGGCTCATCACAGGGTGTGGGGGACTGTCTCCTCCAAACTGCAGCTGGGCCGTTAGCTAAGAAGCTGCTTTTCAGCTTCTCACTGTAGCTTCTCTTAGCTGCCCTGATCTCCTCAGTTTGTTTTTTGCCTGTTTAAACAGGGCCCGGTCCTGACTGCCTCTTCTTTGGTCTGACTCATTTTCCTTAGATATGAAGTGAGCCATGATTTGTTGTTGTATGCGTGAAAGGTCTTGGTCTGCACACACATCCTCAAAAAAACTGATGTAGGAAGTGACAGTTTCCACAAATCTGTCCAGGTTCATGGCTGAAGCTTCCAAAACACTCCAATCAGTACAGTCAAAGCAGGCATGTAGTTCTTGCTCTGACTGCTCCGTCCACTTTCTAACAAGCACAGGCTTAGAAGTTTTAAATTTGTGCTCATAGGTTGGAATGAGATGAAGCAGACAGTGATCAGAGATTTAAAGCTTCACGGGGAACTGCGCAGGATGCTTCCTTTAAGACTATGTAGTGAACTGAGCCTCCGGTCAAGACCTGCCTCTGAAGACCTTCATGGGACAGGAACTGTTATTTCATTGATTTGAATCCAGAAATACAAATTAGCTCATCCAGAGACTTTCTAATTGTATCCTGAACTAATCAATTGAAAGAACACTCTCTTTTTTATATTATCATTACTATTTTACAATGTCTTGATAATCAAAAGTGTGTTTAGTTCATACCATTTTTAAATGTTGAAGTGAACCACTCATTTTAAATCAACTGTGAAACAGTATTAATGATTTTTAATCCTCATTCAAAGTAGAAATCAAGTTAAATGTCTATGTTACAAAGTAATTATGCATTTTTGATCTTCTGTCTGAAATGAGAAAGGTGTGATGTCGGTCAAAAGTCAGAGACAGTCGCAAACAAGTTTATTGGAACGAACTGTTATAGTTAACAGTGGTCCAGAGAATTTGTGTCCATGGTGGGACACTTTACATGCTGTCTGTATGTTGGTAGTTAATTGGAGAGGGTTGTGCTGTTAAAATCCCCACAGACAATAAGGACAGGGTCAGGGTGTTTTTTCTCCACGTCTGTTATCAGCTCGGCGAGCTGTTTTCCAGCCTCTAAAGTGCAGACTGGAGGTGGAATGTAAACACTGGCCAAAATTAAAGAGGAGAACTTCCTCAGAGAAAAGAAAGATTTACAGTTTATAAAAAAAATGACTCCTTGTGAGAGCTACATGTCTTCGGTCACACTGTGGTATATCAGTACACCAACCTTGATTTTTATAAAAACAGATTCCACCTCCTCCCTTTTTCCCCGAGAGCTCCGGCTGTGATCTGCTCGAAACACCTGGAAGCCTGACATCAGACATATGACACACACGATACACATCTGACATATGACACACACGATACACATCTGACATATGACACACACACACGATACACATCTGATATATGACACACACGATACACATCTGATATATGACACACACACACGATACACATCTGACATATGACACACACGATACACATCTGACATATGACACACACGATACACATCTGACATATGACACACACACACACACGATACACATCTGATATATGACACACACACGATACACATCTGACATATGACACACACGATACACATCTGATATATGACACACACGATACACATCTGATATATGACACACAAACACACGATACACATCTGACATATGACACACACGATACACATCTGATATATGACACACACACGATACACATTTGACATATGACACACACACACGATACACATCTGATATATGACACACACACACGATACACATCTGACATATGACACACATAATACACATTTGATATATGACAACAATGTGACCAGTCTACTCAAATTCTGTTTTGACTTTAGTTTTTGTGTGCCACCTCAGGTGAACTCCTCGCTGAGAGGCAACAGCTCTAGAATTTATAATGCAAAAGCAACATGAGATATTTTATAAAGGCAGTCTTAGCTTGAACAGTTCCTTCATGTTTAGTGATCAAATTAATTTTAAAAGTCTAGTCCAATCATGGCATGTCTGGATTATTATAAAATACTTTTACAATTTAATTCATCACCAGGTCTTCATTTAAAAAACATTAAATAAATGTTGAAAAACTTTTATTCAAACTATTTTTATTATCACTTATCAGATGGTCCGATATTTACAATGATCCATTGCAAGTTCAAACAGATATCCATTTAGTTGGAGGACATGGTGTTGCGAATCCAGGTGTTGAAGTTGCAGACCTTGGTGTAAACTCCAGGCTTGTTCTTCTGGGCGCAGCCGTAACCCCAGGACACCACACCCTGCAGCTGACCATTGCACACCACGGGGCCACCAGAGTCACCCTGACACACACGACAAGCAGACGAGGTGTGAGTAAAAAATGGTATCACTTTTGATCTGTTCACTTTGACAAGCTGTGCTTGATCTCCCACCTGGCAGGAGTCCTTGCCTCCCTCCAGGAATCCAACGCAGATCATGTTGGAGGTGATCTGTCCAGGGTAGGCGTTCCTGCAGCTGGAGTCACTCAGGATGGGGGCATCCAGACACATGAGCCTATCAGGGTAGTAGCCTAAAACAACCAGATAAAACACACATGACTATTCTTTCCCACCACATCATACATGTAACTTTATCGCTGATACATTTATACAGAGTCACTGACTTCCAGAGCTGCTGGTGTTTCCCCATCCAGAGATCAGACAGGAAGTGCCGGTGCCAGCACAGGACGAGGGCAGAGACACGGTTTTGACGTAGCTGTTCACGGTGGCGGGCTTGTTCAGCTTGATCAGCATGATGTCATTGTCCAGGTTGTAGCTGCTGTAGTTGGGGTGGCGGATGACCTTGGCTGAGTCGATGAACTGCTCTGTTCCCTCATTCACAGCAATGTTGTGCTCTCCAAGTCTCACCTGGATACGACTGCATGACAAGATAACCACCATCAGAAAGACTAGAAGCAACTGATGCTTTGAATATGACCCCGCAGCACTGTGTAATATGACATTTATCTGAGTGTAGTACTAGTTCCTGGACTTACGACTGGTAGCAGTGAGCAGCAGACACCACCCAGGTGCTGGAGATCAGGGAGCCTCCACAGAAGTGGTAGCCAACGTTCAGAGACGCAATGTAGGGTGCAGAGTTCTTCCTGCACTCGTAGCCTCCAACAATCTTGTCATCCTCAATGGGAGCAGCATCTGGAACATAAACAATTTCATTGAAAAAGAAAACCTTTTAAAAACATGGTAAGAATCAATAAATTCACTACAGAAACTCACAAGCTGCAGCAAAGAGAGCCAACAGGATGAAGTACTTCATGATTGTGTCCTGAACCTCGGTACATGTTCTGCTGCTCTGCTCCTCTATTTAAACCCACCGAGACTCTCTGCTATCTGACTGGCCAAGGACACACATTCACTTTTTTAAATTATTTTCTTGGTAGAGAGCGTGTGGAAAATAACATCTGGACACTGAGGACCATGTGCTGATAATGTCAGATCCCAACTCATGAACTTAGTTTTTAGTATTTTAAAATATCTTTTAAACTTTAAATAATATAATAAAGAATAATCAAAAACAATAACATCATACACTACTGAAAATAAAATTGATGTATACAACAAAGCAATTACTCATAAATCAATGTTAATTAAAATGTATATATAGTTTTACGTAGTTTTCCATTTTGACCGTTATTATTCTGTTTTCTGCATTGTTGAAATATTTATATTATATTGTGAATGTTTTATTATCTTTATAAAGCCGAAGTATCACAGGCTTGTGTTATATTCTAAACCATGCTCCTCCTGTATATGGAACAAAAAAAAAAATTAAAATGTGAAAATCTCAAGTATTTTAACTGACAATATAATTAGCATTGTTTGTTAATCTTTTTTTTCCCTGGTTTGTTTGGATTGAGGCCTATAAGACTTGATCTCAATTTATACACAGCTGAATAAGATGGTGTTTTATATCACAGTGCTCTAGTGCCAATATATTTATTTCAGTGGAATATTCTACCATTATCAACATTTTTAGTCTTTTTTTCTTGTTTTGAACAAATGAGTAAAAAAAAACAGTGAAAATAAATAAATTAGTCTGATAATTATTTTTAAAAACATTAGACGTAGGGTTTCAAAACTCCCATTAGCATACCATTAACAGACTAACATATCATTTTCATGCACCTAAGCTTTTCTTTATATTTTATTTTATTTTTTGTATTTAAACTTTTTTGTTTATGTAGAAACCCATATCAATAAACTGTTTTCATTTTTAATATTTCTATAATCCCTTCAGTGTATTAAATAGTTAGGGCTTTCTTATCTTGTTAACCTTGTCTTCAGAGGGCTTTATAAAGGTTTTTTGTTAGTTCACTCAAACACTCATGCCTCTGAGTTATGAGTGTACATGGTTTATATGCAGCACATTTTACCTCACAAGCAGAGTTTAAAAAAGGTAATAAGTTCACAGATTTTCCCAAGGACACTTCAGCACATGGCATATGAGCAATACAGTAATTTATTTAAATTTGGTTTATTTATATACCATACCATACCAATTTATTTATATAGCACTTAAAACAGCAACAAGGCCAACCAAAGTGCTGTACAAAAGAAACAAACATGCACAGCGGACAGGAAAACAAAATAGAAATACAGATACAAATAGCAGCAGAAGCTAACTAAAATGGCCAACAGAGTAGAGAACAGACCGGACCAAAACAAATCACACCGTGTTAAAGGCAAGCGAATAGAAGTGGGTCTTCAAGCGAGACTTAAAAACTGAGAGTGTGGGAGCCTGCCGGACACTCAGTGGCAACTCATTCCACAGTCGTGGACCTGCAACAGAGAAAGCCCTGTCACCTCTGAGCTTACGACGGGTTTCTGGGACTGAGAGAAGCATCTGGTCTGCTGACCTCAGAGAGCGCGGTGGGACATATGGCTGCAGAAGATCAGTGAGATAGGATGGGGCGGAACTGTTCAGTGATTTAAAAACATACATGAGAATTTTGAAATGGATCCGAAGGTGAATGGGTAGCCAGTGCAGGGAGGCCAAAACTGGCGTGATGTGCTCTCTATAGCCTGTACCAGTTAAAAATCGGGCTGCAGCATTTTGGACCAGTTGTAGACGAGCAATGGAGGACTGACTGATTCCAAACAGAAGTGAATTGCAGTAATCAAGCCTAGATGTTATGAAGGCGTGGATCACTGTCTCAAGGTTCTTTTTGGAGCGTATAGGCTTCAGCTTAGACAGCCGTCTCAGCTGAAAAAAACAGGATTTGACCATCATGTTTACGTGACTGTTGAGTTTTAAGGACGGGTCCATTATCACCCCCAGATTAGTGACCGTTTGTTTCTCTAGCGGGGCTAGAGAGAAAAGGTCAATGTCATGGTTCATGAGTGAGCCACTGGGATGGAACAGCATGACTTCAGACTTCTTCTCATTGAAGCTTAAGAAGTTTAAATATAGCACCAAGTTGCAACAGAAATTGTTTCAGGGCACTGTACAAAAACATTCACATACATATAAGCCAATAAGTAAAAGTTATTTATCTAAAGAAGTCAGAAGATTGCACTGAATCTTCACTTTAATGCAGTCTTCCATCCTGAGCAAGCACAAAGGCAACAGTGGGACGGAAAAAACTCCCTCTTAACAGGAAGAAACCTCCAGCAGAACCAGGCTCAGGACAAGCGGCCATCTGCTTCAACCGGCTGGGTTTGAGAGGAACAGGAAGGAGAGACAGACGAACACAGAACGACAAGTCCAGGTGTTCTTTCTGTTGGAGGAAAGACATAAACACATGTTAAGGATAAAAATAGTAACAAATACACACAAGCAGAAATACAACCAGATACAGTAGAGCAAGTAAAGACAGTAGCGGAGTGAGGAAATGTGGTCAGTTTGTCCTTCAGCAGTCTAAGCCTATAACAGCATAACTAAAGGATAACTCAGGAAACCTAAGCCAACCCTAACTGTTAGATTTTTCAAAAAGGAAAGTCTTAAGCCCAGTCTTAAAACTGGACAGTGTGTCAGCCTTACAGACAAAAACTGGAAGTTGGTTCCACAAGAGAGGAGCCTGATAACTGAAAGATCTTCCTCCCATTCTGCTTTTGGAACCTATAAGAAAACAAGTAAACCTGCAGTCTGAAAGTGAAGTGCTTTGTTAGAAAAATGTGGAACAATAAGATCTGTAATATAAGATGGAGCTAGGTTGTTGAGAGCTTTATATGTTAGAAGTAAGATTTTGAATTTATATCTGGATTTGACAGGGAGCCAACGGAGAGAAGCAAAAACTGGAGAGATATGATCTATCCTACTAACTCGCATTAAAACTCAGGCAGCAGCATTTTGGATCAACTGAAGACTTTTTAAAGAAGATTTTGGACACCCAGATTATAAACAATTGCAATAGTCCAGTCTAGACATGACAAATGCATGGACCAGTTTTTCTGCCTCATTTTTAAGGCAAGATGTTACTGATCTTAGTGATATAACGCTGGTGGCAGAAAGCGGTTCTGGTAATGTTTTTAAAATGGGGGTTAAAATACATATCTTGATCAAAAATAACATCAAGTTTTTTTTCTTCGTCTTTTTTATGTTAGAACTGAAGGCCAAATTAATGCCATCCAGAGAAAGTGAAAGATTACAATTTTTTCCCCTAAGATGCTCAGGTTCAAAAACCACAACATTTGTCTTATCTTAGTTTAAAGCATAAAATAAAGGGTTATTCATGTTTATTATGTCTTTAAGGCATACTTGTATTCTAAGTAACTGACTGGATTTATCAGGTTTCATGGACAAATATAACTGAGTATTATCATCATAACATCAGCATAAGTTTTGCAGAGTGACAAAGGCTGCACAGAAGTCTATTGGTGTCAGTCTCCCCATCATCACAGACATCTACACCTCCAGATGCAGGAAGAGGGCCACCTGCATCATGAAGGACCCCACTCACCCAGCACACACACTTTTTGCACCGCTACCCCAGGCAGAAGGTTGAGAAGCATTAAGTGCAGAACCACTAGGCTGAGGAACAGCTTCTACCCTGAGGCTGTTAGACTCATGAATCCTTAGTCAGGATTATCACTGTGAAAATTACTGTGAAAAAAAATTATTGTGAAAAAAAATCACTGTAATGCCACTTGGTTGTTGATATGTGCTGCTGACTATCCATGATGCTGATCTCATGCTGCTGATTTATTTCATGTTGCTGTGTTCATTCCTCCTTGTCTGCTCACACAGACTCATGTTCATGCTGCTGTTTTTTGGCGCATTGTTTTGTACTATTAGTGCTTAGTGTATTCTTAGTTTAGCATATTTTTTAGTACATGTCTTGGATTGTACTACTGTTTTTCTTTACAATTTGTATTTTTGTTGGATGTAACTGAGACCCTGTGTACATAGTTTCATTCCACCTCATGTACCACATGTGATGTGAATGACAATAAAGAACCTTGAATCCATTAATAACAATGAAAATGTATTCCATGCTGTTTAATAGCTTTAACTATTGGAAGCCTATATAAAGTAAAGAGTATTGGTCCAAGTATTGAACCCTGAGGAACTCCATGACTAACTTTTTGTATAAAGAAGATTTGTTATTTACATTTACAAACTGAATTATATCAAATAAATATATGATTTAAACAATTTTGGAGCCATTCCTGTAATCCCAATATTATTTTCAAGCCTCTGTAGTAGAATATTGTCATCAATTGTATCAAATGAAGCACTGAGGTCTACCAGAACAAGTAAAGACACAAGAGTCTGCGACCATGAGAATATCAGTAACTTTCACCAGTGCTGTTTCTGTGCTGTGATGAACTCTAAACCCTAACTGAAACTCCGTAAACAGCTTATTTCTGTTCAGGTGTTCCCACAACTGACCTGCATCTATTTTCCCTAGAATTTTTAGATGAATGTTAGATTAGCTATAGGTCTATAATTGGGCAGAATTCCTGAATCAAGATCAGGTTTCTTAAGTAAAGGTTTAATTACAGCATCCTTAAAGTGCTGTGGTTCGTAACTATTCATTAGAGACAAATTAAGCAGATCCAAAATGTGGATATTAATTATGGGAAATGCCTCTTTAATTAGTCTGGTTACGATGGGATCTAGCAGACATATTAATGGTTTGGATGAAGCTATTTTTTTTGACAATTCAGAGAGCTCAACAGGACAAAAACAATCCAATCATAAAACAGATTCTAGTGACATTTTAAAGTTTAAAGCTGCTTCATCTGACAGGGAAATGGAGGCAATAGTAGGAAGGATGGTGTATGTAACTTAAAATTGAACCAGGGAGCCAGCTTCCTCTGATACTTTCTTTTTCAGCGGAGCAATTTTATCAAGTGGTGTTTGCATTGAAGTTGTCAAATTATCAACAATATCATCTA